TGCTGTTGCTGTTGCTGTTGCCGGTGCTGCGTCATCAAAACTCGCCATACTAGTTCTCATCACATAAGTCAATCATGCTCTGTTCCTTTGATCTACGGGTTGGTTTCATACCTACTGCTGATGATATAAATCCTGCATTACCTTAAGGACCGTAAACTATGGGGAATTCTGGTATACTCCTTTTTATGGGTAGAGCAGGATTTATATCATCAGGCGTAGTGAGTGCTTGGTGCGGTGATCTGCCCGCCATGCGTGGAGCCCGCTCGCGCAGCGTTCAATTGAAATTGCCGTTGCTGCTGCTGCTCTTGCTATTGCTGTTGCTGTTGCTGTTGCTGTCGTCGTCGTCGTCGTTGTGGTTGTGGTTGTGGTTGTGGTTGTGGTTGTGGTTGTGGTTGTTGTTGTTGTTGTTGGTGGTGGTGGTGGTGGTGGTGGTGGTGCTGTCGTCGTCGGCGCCATTGTTGTCGTTGATGGTGGTGGCGGTGGTGGTGGTGGTGGTGGTGGTGACTGTGGTGGTGTTGGTTGTTGTTGGTTGTCCTTGCTGGTGCTAGTACTAATACTTGTCAGTCAACGACGGCTACGACGACGATGGTGGCAACGACGTCTTGTCGGTTCAACCTTTGAGATCGTTCTGATTTTGAAGTCTACTCCATCGCTGCGTGACAGTTGCGCTTGTGCTGCATCCACTGTCGTCGTCGCCATCCTACCGGCAATGGAAGCATCGACACTGCTACGACTGCTGGTAGACCAAATCAGCAATCAAGGCAGCGGCAGTCCTTAACTTCCATCGTGAGATAACGGTAAGCCTCCAATGCCCCTAAACCCTAAACCTGCTACGCGGGCAGGACAGGGGAAGGACATAAGTTTCCAAGCAAAATGCTCAGGACCAGGCTGAGTCTATGACAATGCGCCAGCGATTCTCCGTCCACGTAGGTGACTACGGTACTCCAAGGAGGCACCAGCACCAGCCTTACGGCCAGGATTTGGAGACTATAGTGGGCTTGGGCTTGCAACTCGGATGTTGGTTATGAGAATCATCCCTGCTGAAGTGCATAATTTGGGGGTTGATTGCTTCCAGCCCTAGGAACTGTTCGATATTCACTGCTGCAGCCGGTTTAGGGGTTGATATTTGCGGACCTGACACCCAAATCAAAGTGCAGTAAGTAAAGGCTTGTGGAAGGGTCGTTGCCCATCAAGTTGAGCTCCACGCACCATGGAGCTCTTTCCTCATGGACGGCAAGCTCAAAACCCTAGCCCCTAAACTCTGAAATTCAAGCCTTGCGAGGAGGCTGGGGGGTCCCACCATGTCATGGGCATCCCTCATTGTTCAGAATCCAACCTTCGACGCATTCTTCGGCCTGGTCGTCATGGCCAACTCCATCTTCATTGGTATCTTGGCACCGGTTTCGGATAGCTTTTAAGTCCCCCTTGTCGTTGAAATAGATGACCCTAAATTGCAAAATTCGATGCCTAAGGCATGGATATTCAGTGGGTGCTAGGGGATCAGGGGCCACGACCTACAAGCTACACCATCCTCCACTACAGCTTCTCCCTGCTCTTCCTCCTCGAGCTGGCCCTGCGCCTGGCCGATAGCCGCGGTCGCTACTATTGCTCCGAGGATTGGGCCTGGGCTATCTTGGATACCGTGATCGTTCCTTGGTAGAGGAAGTAGTTAGGGTTTAGGGTTTTAAGTAGCCTTTTCTACCGCTTATATGGGGTAGCTTACTCTAAGAGTAGAGTCGGGGACCTCGACCTTCTTTGGGGTACTCGAATCCCAAAGTTGAGCCTTTAGATTTCCCTGGGGGACTGGTCAAAGTAAGGTTCTCTCATCCCTTTGGGATGTGATTGTGGAAGTGATCCAAGAAATGGTGCAGGACAATAGCTGGGAGAGTTTTTCAGGGTTGTCGACATTGAAAGCCATGCGCATCGTCCGGTTGACACGGGTGCTGAAGACCGTCCAGTTTGTGCGTCTCTTTCGCTTCGTCATGGCCCTACGGACGCTGGTCCAATCGATTCTGCATACCATGAAAGCCCTTTTCTGGGCGTTGCTACTCCTTGGCCTGATCATCTATGTGTTTGCTATACTCTTTTCCCAGGCAGTTTTCGATTACAAGAGTGATCCAGCCAATCCGGAACTGCCAGCGGATGTCCTCGATGCAGCCACCCGCTATTTCGGCACACTCCTTACAAGCATGATCGCGCTTTTCATGAGCATCACTGGTGGCGTTAGTTGGGAAGAGGTCTTGAAGCCCCTCGGATACGTCTCAGACTTCTGGAAGGCATGCTTCATTTGGTTCATTGCTTTCTCGTACCTGGCTGTGTTGAACGTGGTTACCGCCGCTCCTTGGCTGCCCTGGTCTATGGATTGCCTAAGTCTAAGTAACTTGTCCTTCTTCGGTTTCTGGTGGCTTATTCACTTCGTTTCTCGAAGCATACTACTTGTGAATGTCGATGTATCCCGGACCAAGAAAATACACCTGGATCAACCTCTCGTTGTTGATACCTCTGCTGCTGATGTTGATCTCTGTGTGCATGTGTGCGTGCTGATTAGGCTGCTGTTGTTAGCATCATGTCGTCAGTGGCATCGGTAATATTGTTGGTGCTGTTGCAGATGTGGCTACTTGGTGGTGATGATCTTCTGGCTCGCTCACTCATGTATTGTTGGTATTGCTCGAACTTAGTATAGTTGTCGTGGCGCCTGTTGTTGTGATTGCGGTTGCCGATACTGTGACTGATACTTTCTTCATGCTGCTCTTATTGTTGTTTCTGCTGACACGTGTCTTTTCGGCTATTGATGCTGCTGTGGTGCTCGTCCTCGATCTCTGCTTTTGTTGTTTGGATGTGCTTGTTACTTCAACTGGTATCATGCTGCGTGAGTAAGTAGTTACTACTTCGACGCTGCTGTTGTTATTGAGGTTGCTGCTGTTGTCGCTTGAGATGTGTGTAACTATATATGTATGTGTAGGTGTACGTATGTGGACTTTTAACCTTGGCTTCTCTGCTTGAAACCTTGATTTCTCTACTTTAGACCATGGTTTCTCTGCTTTAATCTACACGTTCTCTGTCATATTTTTTGATGCTTGATTCATTTGAACATCTGGTCTCTCTACTTTACCTGTTTCTCTGCAGCAATTCTTGTAATAATCTAACAAACAGAACTGTGTTGGCAAGCAACCAATTGTCGCAACAATTGTTTTGATTGTCCAACCATTGTCGCACCATTTGGCACAAGTTCTAAGCAATTGCGTGGCACTTGTGTGCACCAGTTCAGCACCCGAGGTTTGAACACACCTAATGTATTTGTTTATATGAAGAAATAATTGCTCACACGCACATACATGCATACATAATATATCAATATGTACATACGCACATATGTACATACATGCGTAGATACATACACACATTTGACAGCTGCACCGCATCCTCGGGAGAGAGAGAGGAAGAGCGAAAGAGAAAGAGAAACCTCAGACTGCATGCCCAGATCTGCAAAGGTGTTTTGCCAGTCGGCCATTGAGTCGGCACAGAGTGATCACGCGACCTTGATTCAAAACATGCTCGACAACAAGGCTTGATGAGATCGGTTAAGTATGCAGGGATCGGCAGGATGTAGTTACGGCTTCAGCTGCCAGACTTGAGAATCAAAGTATTCAGAATGCTTGGGGATGAGTGGTGTCGTCTCGACTGTGTGCACAAGCACCCAAGTTGAGCCTACGGTGTTGCATCGAAAGCCAAGGGTCTTCGCCAGTATGCTGCCTTTTCCTGACTTTGGCGAAGGAGCAACATCTTCAAAAGCTGCGGACCTTGTTTGACAAGATCGGACACCACGATGTTGGCGGCGGCGGAATCACCTTCCCGATGATGCCCGGCTGCACCACTGTTCGGAGAGCCTAGCATCCGTCATAAGATACGACTGATTCTCAAGAGTTAGGAGCGTAGCCAGCCACCACGGCAGCATCACGACATCCTGTGCATTGACTCATCTGACAACTCATGGACACTTGCATGTGCATCTTCCCCCGGATGATTGACTCCCATACGGCGGTTCAACTCTTAACACTGACCTCAACCAAGAGCATGTATGGTGCAGTGCTTTCTGCTCACCCTGGTCTTTGGAGTCAGTGTTGAGGGAATGAGGGCTGCACATTGGAGGCTGCCCTAATGAGCTGGCATTGGCTCTACGATGTTTCTGGCATGTCGCTCAGTGACCTGCTGTAGGTCTCGTCCGCCCGGGACTTCGACAGGTTAAACTCTCCACCTTCAGCAAACAGTTGCGATGTGGTAATCTACAAATTCGATGCATCGTTTCTGCATTGTGGAGGTGGCTTATTAGATGGAGTTGGAGCCAGACTTCGACAGATAAACCTTCACACTCCTTTACAATCACCTATTCTACTTCTGCCCCCGAGCTCTTGAGCGAAACCCGACACCCTGAACGCAAGCGTTGCTAAACCAGAAGATCCAAAAGCACGAGGTTTGAGGAGAAGATCAGCTCGCAAACCGTTCGCGACTATTTCGAAATGTTGGGGTTGGACGTGTGGGACCCATGGGCGTTTTTCAAGCCCCTTGCCCGGGCTTACTTCCCGGATTTCTGGGAGTGGCGAAATGCTGGGGGTTGTGCTTTTGGCAACCTGTAGTAAGCTTCTCGTATCTCTTGTCTATGTTGAAGCATGCGAGGCTCCTGCGGGGCGCGTAGAACTTCGGCCTGTCATCTGGGTACTAAGATATATAAACCTGTCGTCTGCATGTAACATTCTGTGAAGCCCTACTGAGCCCTTCAGAAGGTTCTTCGAGATTGCTGTGCGCCTCTGTGTCTACAAGATCCCAACCTTAACCCCCAAAAGTAGGTAAAATAATGGCCTAAAACCCATAAAAGGCTATTATTCTACATACTTTTGGGATCCAGGAAATGGGTAGTTAGTTGGTGTACGTTCCGTTTCGGGAAGCCTGGAGCGAATGTCACCCGTTCTGATACAAGGTAGAAGAACCCCCACAGTTTAGAGTTTAGGGTTTAGTTTAGGGTTTAGGGCATGGGCAGACAGATTGCCAAGCCTCTGGCTTTGCCAGGTTCCTCTAGGTGGAATATGCGCGAACACCTTAAAAGACGGCAAGAGATCAGGCCGAAGCCCATCCAGCACCTAGTCTTAACTCCCCCTAAGCGATGTGTGCGAAGCTGAGGCTGTTGGATTCTGATGCAGGCGGCGTTGTGGAACTGGAGGAATTTTTCCTTGGCTGCCTCCGTTTCAGCGGAGCGGCCACCAAGCCTTCATGAGCAGCCCAGAATTCCTCAGGTTTTGGTGAACCAGTTGTAAGGTTAGGACACCAAAAACAAAGAAAGCAGGCAAGCAAAAACGACAGCCATGTGAGTTTGGGCCATACTTGTTTAGTTTTTCGTGTTTGTGGATGTCTCACTGGCGCATTAGCACTACCCAGTGTACATTTCTGTCCGAAGCAGTCGGGCTCACCCGCGCTCCTATGTGGCACAGAAGTTTCTGAAGTTACCCCAAACCATCAAACCCATACCAGTTTGGGGATATAGGCACCATCTAGAATCTAAGCCCTAGTTTGGCCCCAGGCCTCGAGCCCTTGACCCCAAACCTTTCCCTTTCCCTGTCATCCGACATCCGAAGAACCGAAGAGCCTAGGCCACAGCTATGGAAGTCGGTCAGGTCGCCGCAGATCAGACTCTTCGGTGCAGGATGTTTAGGGCGTTTATAGGGTTCCTGTTTAGGGTTTAGGCTTCCTTATTATGACTTCCATTATATAAGTCCTTAACAAGGCAGATTCTGTGCGGTTTAGGTGGAGTTGGGGGCCCCGGGTTTGGGGCTTTGGACCCGCTGGGAACCCAATTCCCGTCTCTTAGGCCAAGAACTGTCCGACGGCACCCATGGAAACTCACCGGGGCCCTGCAGCGCTGAGTGCAAGCCTGGGCCGAAAGACAGCCCTTGCTCTCAACCAAGGAAGTGGCTCATCAAAAGCCATGGCCGGTTCCAAAAGTTCGTAGCCACCTGCTCAGATGGGGTTGTTCAGTCTAGTCCCCTGTTTCCAACCCCTTTGTAACACATCTTGAAGGACTCGACCTTTTTTGGGAGCCCGAGTATAGAACAAGCCACTCTGTGCCCTCCAATTTTACACCAGTTCTGGGACTGTGGCTTTTCCATCGTGTAGGAAGTTTGACACGCATAGTTTGCTGGAAGGCAACGTGTCAGGCAAAATATATGTCAAGATGAGGATCAGCTTGGATGCTGCATCAACTTGACTTACTCAAGCTTTCACTGGGGCCTTTTGGCTTTGCAGGGAAGCCTCTTTTGGGTTCAGTGATGGAAGTTTGCATACCAGGCTTCGCCCCATGGATGTGTGGGGTGTCTGAGTTTGTCTGCTTGCAGGTTCGTGAGGATCCTGGACTCCACCAGGTCGATTGCCTTTCAGATAAACACCTCTAGATCCTGAACCGTTAGTCAACGATATCCCACAGATCTTTACCACCACACCTGCGACCTACAAGACAATTGCTTCCTGAGCCTAGACCCGACAACTTAGCGTATACACACAGAAACCCTGAAACCTCGCCGAGGAAGAGGAGCTGCATCGCGCCAGAGCCGATATATCTTGCCTGACTGATGCGCTTTTGGGGTATCCTCCGGTCTCTTCGACGAATCTCTAACCTCTTGAGTCTTAGAGAACTCGGAGAGCTCGGTGGGGGGCAGGGGTCTCGAAATGTCCGTGCACACTCTTACCTACCTAGGTTTCCATCATCACACACACACATGATAAATACATATAGACATGTATATATATATATGTATATGTATGTAAGTACATATGTGTGTGAGAGCTCCCCATCGAGAGCCTTCACCGGTAACCGAACCTGAAGCTCTCGAGTCTCGCGAGCTCTGCGCCTGTCAGTTAGCTTCTCCTTCCTGAGCCCCAAACCTCGGAGCCCAAACTCTAAACTCCGGGCAAAGAATCCGTAGACCCCAAACCCCAAACTAAGAAAGCCTCATCCCGGAAAGCCGTAGCAGTTACGGAGTGGGTTTAGGATTTCAAGTCTTAGCGGCTCTGTTCTGATCCAATCTACTGATGTCCCGTCGAGTAAAGCCTGTGGGGGATTAGGGTTTAGGGTTCAGGCACCCGGCATGCGCGGTTGTCACCAGAATTGTCGAGCAGAGTGCCTCAGAATGGGGGGCATCTGCCAACAAAGTTCTTGTTCGCCTTACCAAATCTTGCATGCGATCGCAGACTGTGCAGAGCACGAGTGCTGCAAATGTCCTATCGGGCCGCATGCAACTCGTGTTACTTTGGGTTCCCGTTACCTTTTGCTTCGTCGGTGGATTCCAATGACGAACAGACTCTCCATGTTTCTGCCATCCTGAGATGCAAATGGCCTCTGCTCACAGTCTAATCCTCATTAAACTTGAGGCTCAACTTTTGCAACGCAACTGTCTAACTTGATGCAGAAAAGTCGATCTGCCAGCCCACCTCCGGCTCACCGCAGTGGCAAGTCTTCGAGGGTTGGATTCTCAATTGAAAAACGCCTGCGTCCAGCAGTGGGGTTGATAGAGCTTGCCCATTTCAGGGCCCATCACAACCAGGATCATTACGAAAAGGGCAAGCTTGATGGCTTGCCTTGCCGCTGAGACACTGCAGCCGCGGGCTCCGTCACAGGGGTCGTGACATGTCGTGGAGCATCTTCTATGTCATGTGGCGTTTCTCACACATCCTTGAAGCAAAAACTCGAAGCACGGTACCGGGAGCACCTGCGTCGAATCATTAAGCAGTGACCCAACTCGGTCCTGCTTCTGGCTTTACAGTGGTTGCTAAAGGGAACCACTTGGCAGTACGACTTCTGTTGTTGCTGTCTGTCCTGTGTGCTCTTTGCTATAAGCCGAGACCGTGCGTAGAATCTATTGGAGCCTCTCAGACTATCTTCCGCAGCATCTTGCGATGGCAGCTTTCAAGGCGTGAAAGTAGACTACTGTGTGTCACGCGATGCCTGTAAACCCTAACGCATGTCACGCCTCTTTCTGTGAGGCTCGGGCTTCTCCAGCTGGGAACGCCGACACGGCGGCCGCTGTCCACCCCGACACTGCGCTGTGCCTCTTCCAAGTGTTGGTGGTGAGGGAATACTAACCTTCAGGGTTCAGGGCTTTGGGTTCAAGGTCCGCTCCAGGTACGATTTCATGCAGTGGTCTCAAAACGGTCGTTGCTAGTGCGAAAATGTGCATCCTAGGCGCCCAGGTTAGCTTGCTAGTAACATTACTAGTAGACGAACAATAATCTCTCTAATCACGAGATCCATTATCTTACCCATGCCACCGTCATTTTGAGAACCGTCAATCGCTAAACCAGAAAATTGATGCCCCGCGGCCAAAATCCAGCCCTAGACGTTGTAAACCCTGTCACCGCCATCGGTCATCGGCAAAGCCACTGCAGTCTCACAAGCCTCGATTGTCGTGTCACAGGAATAAAGCTGTAGTCGCGAGCTAGCTAAGTGGAGGCCAAAAACATAATATAATATAATATAATATAATATAATATAATATAATACAATATAATATAATATAATATAATATAATATAATATAATATAATATACGTAATATAATACACAACGGGAGACCCAGACTCAGGCTTCTTGCGACTATGCGGCACCACCATGATCTGATCATCCACCGCTTGGATCAGCAAGAGCTGCTTCTCAGTGGAACAAGGCTTCCCGGCTCTTACACTTTGAGGTGTTCGATGCTACAGTCGACTTATCTTTCTGAAGGTAATCTGATGTTGGGGCCCGGATGTTGAGCTTGGGCAGCATAGGGCGCAGGCTTTGGGAGTACGAAGTATCATCCCACCAGACCTTCTTCGAGGCTGAGTGAAAGCTTCTTGGGCACGTGGCCCTGCCAAAGCGAGTTTCATCGGTGGTGGGGGGGGGGGGGGGGGGNNGTGGGGGGGGGGGAGGGGCGGGGTCGTAGCAGCTGAAGTCAGCACGGAATGATCGAGTGGACGTAGATGCAATGCCCGGGATGAGGAACTTCACTTTTGTGTTCGCTAGTGCCTGCTATGGCTTTCCGGGGATATGTTTGCAACATCACTGTGGGATGTGTGCTGTCTTGTGTCATGCTTGACCAGCCATGTGTTTGTTTGTTTTCGGCCACAGGGCCTAATGCCAAAGCCACAGCGAGTTTCTTCTGAGGACGAACTCTCCTGCACCATCGCGTCTCGATTTGAGTCCCAGAGCATCACCAGCGGAAGCAAGCAGAATCTCGGCGCTAACAGCTGGGAACGTCGGAATTGCTGCCACCGGCTTATTGTCAAGACGAAGCACCTGGTTTAAGTCGAGCTGGCCTAAGAACCTGTAGTGAGGTGGACCTCGAAGTGGCTGACGACGCATGTTTGACTGCAGGACTTTTGCCACGAAGCTTGAGCATTCTCGTGGCGCATTGCCACTTGCATTCCATCACACTCCACTCGAGTTGCTACAGTATGTGCAAAAGGACGAACGACTCCTCCGCAGTGCAGTGTGAGAAGGACCCAAGTCCTCCCACCGAAAACAGGCCCAAATACTGTCTTGCGCTTCTACAGCCGCAGATTAGTTTCTAACTCGGTGCAGAGCAGGTGTATCACCATGTGGTGTGGTCTAGCGCAGCCTTTGATCTTCATGTTCGGAAGATAAGATACAGGCTGAATGCTGAAGTTGTTCGTTTTCCTCACGGCACAGGCTTGTTCCATGATGGGTTGCAGTTAAAATCATACTTAGCTGCCCGACCAGGCAAGCCAGTTGCGGCATACGTAGGACATGGGGTTCAGGGCGTAGTCGATATTGTTCATTACCCAGCCAAGTCAAGTTGGAAACGCTGCTTGAGGTGACTTTGCGGCTTCCTCGCCAATCTCTCCAACTGCAACTTTACCAACACGTGAGGACGTGTTCCGTGTAACATTGCGCTCCTACACTGAGGAGGACCGATGACAGACGGTTCCAGGTGGGCTAGTTTAGTTGCCGTAGGGTGCTGTAGAAGAAAGACCTGGTACGTACCGGGAGTTACGCCAGGGCCTGTGGTCCATTGAGTGCTCCGGGCTTCCTGCCCCTTTGTGTTCGTTGGCATACGGTTCATGCTCGAGAAAACCGTTCCAGTACCAACAGGGTACTCATATGCACATAGAAGTATAAATAAATAAACAAACAAATAAATACATAAATATAAATAAATAAATATATATATATATAATATATAAATGCACATGTGTATATATATATACACACATACACATGCAGGTGTATATACATATATGTGTGTATACACACACACAGAGGAAACACGGTTGTCAGCTAGAGTCGCATGGAGACCCCATGTTATGTGTCATTCGCGAAAGTCTTAGATCCAATACTGTCCTTGTTTTAATCTGCAGTCAACAAGACTGGCTTGCTGAGCTCGTCGTTGCCTGCCCACGCTAGAGACTTTCTTAGCCCTATAAAGCGCTTTATGCAGACTACTAAGCCCCAACAAGCCTGGCAGCCCCAATTCAATCCGAAGCGAAGCCCCAACTAGACTTTACACGGAAAACTTTACCCAAAACTTGAAGTTCTATACACCCTATATTGGCCTGAACCCCAGTCCTACAGAACCCCACAAAGGCCTACTCCACTCCTGCGAAACAGGCCGCCCCTACACCCTAACTGCAAAATCCGAAATGCCAAAACCCTAACGCTCTAAGCCGTTAAATCCTGAACCCTGAAGCCGTATAGAGCTCAAAGCTTACAACAGCACGTAGAGCCCTAAATTAAAAATCCTGCTCGTAGAACACGAGCAAACTTAGAAGCCAAAGGCCAGAAACCTGTGTCGCAAACGGTGGAATGCAAATCTCTTCAAACCTAACCCTCATTTAGTGAGACGCGGATTAGCGAGGACACGCAGCTACGCACCGAAGCCGTGCAGAGATCGCAAGAAGCATAAGTGAGGGCGGTTTTAATCCCAGGAGGCTTTGTGGAATAAGTCTTCACAGGGACTCAGGGTTTTCTTGCTTTTGTGGCTAAAGACCACACTGTACCAGGTTCGGGACCACTGTGAGCCTTATACAGAAGAGACTAGTTAAGGATGATGAGAGGGGACCATCCGGATCCACAGGAAGCGATGTAAAAGGTTTAGGTCATATGCGGGGTTTAGGAGTTCAGGTTTTGGATATTTTGGGGTTTGTATCAAGGTCTGTCTATGAGCTTTAAAGTCTCACGGTTGACGGGAAGTTTATCTAAGCATCTACCGGAGTTGGGTGCATCCTGGCCCCATGTCAGGTTGTAAATCCTCGGGAATGTAGCGAAAGCAATATATGTTCTCAGCATCGATTGGGTTTAAATGCATGTTTATCTTTGTTCGTTCGTGCATAACGAGCACTTCACGCTGTCTGCACTACCGTATGACCACTGCTTGTAGGCGGTATCTCCATGTGCGTAAATCGCCGATTCTTTGACTTGGGGCATACTTTTCTTGGTCCTGAGACTACCCATCCTGTTGTGATCGGAATTTGGGGGCCCCCAATGTCTGAAATTACTTGCACCACTCTGTATGATCTCGTCAGTCTAGACTCCAATAAATTAGGTCGGGCTCACATCTTGAAGCTGCAAAGATCCCCCCGGCCCAGCTGACACACAGCATGCAAGTTGGCACTCATGGTATCAAGCAGTGCAAGGACGTAGCCATTAGACTCTGAACAATCTCTATGTCCCATAGGACAGGCGGTGGCGTCGGGTGAGCAGCATGGGTACGCAGAGACATGCACGTCCTTTTATGCCTATTTTTTCCTCTAAAGCCTGAAGCTGTAACTCTGATTACATGGGCTGAATGACTATTGCTCAGGGTTTCGGAGTTTGGGGGTAAAAAAACCGAGGACCAGGCTGGCTCTGTCACGATGCGGAAGCGTTTTTCAGACCAGACGACTCGCCAGACGACTCAGCGGTGCAAGACCAGGCCAAGTTTGTCCTTTCAGCTTTGGATCTGTCCGTGTGTTTGTGTGTTTGTGTGCGTGTGTCTTTGTGCGTTGCCCAGCTATCCAGGCTGCAAGAAGAGAGGCGTCCATGGGCTGCTCGAATCGTACACCACCCTGGTTTCGATGTGTTCTTTGCGTTTGTCGTCATGGCCAACGCCATCTTTATAGGTTTTGACATCCAGTGGGTCTTAGATGGCGGAGCCTTGGATGAGAACGGTCAGGAAACAAGGACAAGGCCTGTGAGCTACATGGTTTGCCACTATGTCTTCTCTGCTTTCTTTCTAGCAGAGTTGGTTCTGCGACTGATGGGTAGCCGCTGTCGATACTACTGCTCTGAAGATTGGGGATGGGCCGTTTTGGACACACTCATAGTAGCCACGTCCTGGTGGGACATTTTTGTGGAACTGGCAGAGGCCCTTTTGCAAGATGATCGTTGGGACAGCATCTCCGGGCTGTCAACATTGAAAGCCATGCGAATTGTTCGCTTGACTCGCGTACTGAAGACGGCCCACTTTCTCCGGATATTTCGGTTCATCATGGCCCTGCGGATGTTGGTGCAGTCAATACTACACACCGTTAAGGCTCTGTTTTGGGCATTGCTCCTGCTCGGCCTGATCATATATGTGTTTGCTATACTCTTCGCGCAGGCAGTTTATGACTTTCGTGTCGATTCAACAAATCCAGCATTGCCAGAGGAGGTGCAGATTGCATCCGATCGCTACTTCGGCACGCTCATTAGAAGCATGATCGCTTTATTTATGAGCATAGCTGGTGGAGTCAGCTGGGAGGAGGTGATCAGCCCGCTGATGTGGGTGTCTCCCTTTTGGGAGGGATGCTTCCTCTTTTTCATCGCTTTCTCGTATCTGGCTGTGTTGAATGTTGTGACCGCGGCGTCTTTGCTGTCCAGTCAGGCAAAGTTTAGTTCTAAGTTGTGAACGTGGGCTAGGCGGCTAGGTCTGTTGTACCAAGCTGGTTCCCGATCTTCAAACAAGCCACGAAGTCGGGGGGGGGGCCAGAGCATCAGGTCTTTTGCCAGTCGGCGATCGAGTCAGCACAAAGTGACCACGCGACAGTGGTGCAAAACATGTTGGACAACAAGGCTGGATCGGCTCAGTGAGGTTGTTGTGGAAGATCCTTTATCTCGGGTGAAGAGTCATCATGTAATCTGTAAGCATCTCGAAACAAAACTTGAAGCAGGTCTGTAGCGAAACCCCAGGCGTGCCGGATTGAGCATGCCCTCGAAAGGAGCAGCATCTCCAGAAGCTGAGAGCCTTGTTTGAGAAAATCGGTGACGATTATGTTGGGGGGATCACTTTCCCGATGTGGCTCGGCTTCATCTGCGATGTATACGATGTTCACATTTCTGATTTTGCCGGCAGCTGAAATCCTCGGACACCGTGATTCCCGGTTGAAGGTGTGAATCTGCAGGATGTGGCTCCCCTTGTCCTTGAGTCTGCGGTAGCGGCCTGCCACGTCGGATGTGCTCTACACATGCTAGATAGGTTCTCAGTTTGCTTGAGCCGAAATCCGAAAGGGGCTTGTCATACGTCTAGTTCTGGAAACCCTAAACCCTAAACAATAAGCGTTAAACCACTTTGAATATCGCTTGCCAGTGCCATCCTGTGCACCCTCACCCTACCGGGTCCCTAGAACGGTACCTGAAATGCTAGATTTTGAGGATGCGGGTCCCAGCAGGTAGGTTACAGCTGAGATCCTGCTTTGTATATCTCTGCTTGTCAGGTCCATAATTTCTGAAGCTCCTTCTAATTATTCCACAGGCCCAAGTATACATCCCAAATAGAAGGATCCTCGAAGCTTGAGCTAATGCTCCTGGCCGTTGTTCTTGGCTTAATAAGGTTCCAAGAGAAAATCGACTCCCCAGCAGTCCGCGAGTATTTCGAGACGCTCGGATTAGACGTGTGGGACCCGTGGGCTTTCTTCAAGCCCCTCGGCTGCGCCTTTTCGGAGTTTAGGGCTTGGGGCCTAAACTCCGTCCTTTTCTAGCCTTGATGAAAAGTCCGTGTTTGGACTGGCACACTCGCTGTGGGGGTGAGATTCCGACTTCACCTCAAACGAAAGTGCCCGACCTTCGATGTTGACTTTGGTTTGCTGGCCCTCGCCAGATTCACAGTGGTTGCCCGGGTTCGCCAATACGGGTTGTTCAGGGCATGGGATTAATCATGTTCGGTTTACTGTTCTTGCCAGTTGTCGTACTGCGTATCGGGTGGGTAAGCTTTGCCCTTGGCCGACCGACCAAGGCTTCTGGATGCCGATGCGGGTGGCGTGGTAGAGTTGGAAGAATTCTTTTTGGGGTGCCTGCGCTTCGGCGGCAACGCGACTTGGCGTAAGGCTTAGAAACATTCGGATGGGTGCTGGGCTTGGGTGCGGGGATCGAAATTTCAGCTGTAAAGTTTTCGAGCCAGCTACTTATATCAGGCAAACAAGCCGTCTGATCAAGTGTTTTCGTGGCACATGGTGGCCAAATGCGTACGAACTCTCGCTGGATGCGACTGTAATTAATAATTTCAGCTTTTTTTTTCAGGCATCAGTGTGCAGTTCTGCCGGGATCCGTGCTAGATCCCCACCAGGCTACTGCCATGGAAGTCGGCCAGCTAGCTGCTGACCAGAGGTGCCGCGTTCGGGCCCGATGTAAACCAGGGTATGTGGCTTTTGTCTGTGTGTTGCACATGTAGATCGATGTGTACAGCGCTTGCAGAGCCTGTGGTACAGTGCCTAAGCTGGCGAGGATTGATAAGCGGTTCAAAGCCGTTTCAAGCATGCATGCAGCTTCCCGAGTCTGAAGCTGCGTGCCATGACTGAGAGTTTCTTTGCCTGCCAGGTGGCTGATCAGAAGCCAGGGTCGTTTTCAAAAGCTGGTCGTGGCCTGTCCTGGCATTTACTTTCCAGTAGATAAGAATATGCTTTGCTAAGTGGGGTGGTGCGCAGCAGGTAGGTCGTAAGGTCTGTCGACTGTGCAGCAGTGTTTCATAAACAACTTCATGTCGCATCATTGCAAGTGACTGCGGACTGTGGGTGTCGTCCGGGCTTTCAAGCTTTTGGTCCCAGGTCTTCTTGGTTCATTGAGTTCATTGATCAGTGTTTGGTGCCAGCAGAGCACTAGGGATATTGCTGTGCATTGTTGTTGTTGTTGTTGTTGCTGTTGTTGTTGTTGTTGTCGTCGTTGTCGTTGTCGTTGTCGTTGTTGTTGTTGCTGCCACAACCCGAATTTGCCCCAACCATCCACTCATCACGCGCAAGCCTGGAGCCGAGTTTAATTTAGCGTCCAATCCAGTATGCTCTGAAGTCATTGCATTGTGCCACGGGCTCCGTGGGCAAAGCCAGAACTGAGGCACTTCTGAGACTTTCTATGGATCTGTACCCATTCAGAGCACCTCCACTACCGCGAGTATACGGCTAGCTTCACACATAGCTTCAGGCACGAAAAAGGTCGGGAGACACCTTAGCAGCCTTACCAGGAGCAATAATTGTCTTCTTGGCAAATGCACCATCCATATACTGGCAGTGATGATGATCATCGTCATGCTGCTGCTGATGTGGCCGTAATGATACAGCAGGGCTGTTGATGAGGATGCCCTTGTTCTTGCGCATATCACATTGTCACATTGTCAGTCTGGTTTTGCAAATCGCTTAGTGAAGGTGTGTATCCACAGGCATGTCCCGAGGAAGCAGCACCAAAGCGGATTTTTGGCACTGTCTCGTTTCGATCGACGCAAGATCAGACAGTTAGTCTTAATGCCGTTCTGCCAACACTGAGAAGTGCTTTTACTTTTGTTAACTGGCGCCAGTTGCATCGAGAGCCTGCAGGGACTTTAGGAGCCCAGGAGAACGAGCTCTGCTGGACCAGGGAGAACATCGCCTCTTTGGCCAACGCAGTTTGTGCTGCCACAGGCGGTGTTTGCTCAAACGAGCTTTAAGGATCTGCTTCCAGTCTCACTGCTTTTCAGACGAGCCACCTTACAATCGTGATGTACGCAGCATGTGCCTTTGCGGTTCTATGGGGTTCAACCGATGAAGGGTTCGGACTCGTCGCCATCTTTCGTGAGAGTTCTGCCTTGTGCAAATAGTAGCCACGATCTGCTCATTTGGTACCTGCAAAGCAGACAAGTGGTCCGGCTCGTGGTCCGGCTCATGCAATGTGGCAATGTATATACGCAGCCGATTGTGGCGCTAGGAACGCTGATAAAAGTCGTGGTCTCCTGAACAACATCGCCTCCTGTGTTTTCCTCATCTCGGTCAAAATCATTGAATCATTTCCGCCTCAGCATTGTCCTCATCCTCACCATCGTCAACCACATCGTCGTACTCATCGTCATCTCCATCGTTCGCATCGGTGCATCGACATCATCATCATGATCACCGCCATCCAAACATGAGGAACCTTAGCACCATATAACGGCACCATCAGCATCGGCGCGAATATCACCACGAACATCATCTAATACATGATTGCGAAAAGAAGCCGCCGACACATCACCATGTGACGCCTCGTACCATCATGAGCATCAGCACCGCCGTGCAGACATCTTCATGCTCGCAAATGGGAGCGGGGCCTCCAGAAAATCTCCGAACTTATTCGGGCCTCGATAGGGTCAGCTCTAACGTAATTTGGTGTCGAGCCTGCTTTCATCGATAGGCCTGCTCGCTTTTCGCAATGAGGCGGTGGCCTTCCACCTTGCCATCCCGTACAAGGCAAAAATGTAATTACCTAACAATTGACACTCAAGGGGCGACACGAGCATTATTTATTTGATTCCGGTGGACCTGGGGAAAAGATGATGGTTTCTCAAACTCGACTTCACAAGCCGTGCAACAGTTCAGCCTCCTCCAGGTGGTGGCTAGTACTGTTCCTCCTCGTCCTCCGCCGCTCCTGCCTGCTGTGCTCATGGTCGTACTGTTGAGGTGGCGGCGGCGGAGGTGGTGGTGGTCATCGTCTTAGTATGTAAGTAATGTAAGTAGTCGTCATCGTCGTACTATAGCAGCAGCAGCAGCTGCAGCAGTAACTAGCAACAGTAGCAGTGGAATCGAGTCGTAGCAAGTATTGCTGGCCGGGGCTGTAGTCGGAGTGGTCGTGGAAATAGCAAGGTCGCATGATTTCACAAGAACGGTAGCAGCAGCAGCAACAACAGCAGCAGCAACAACAGCAGCAGCAGCAGCACAAGCTAAAACAGCGAGACGCATAAGGCCATAAGGTTAAGCAGGCTGTGTTTCGAGCAGTGCTTCTCATACTTGATACGATTACTGACTGGTGTCAGCAGCAAACCACTTGTGTGGTTCTATCAGCATGGTCCAAATCGATGTCGCGGTGATCGCCCTGCGCCTCATCATCACCGTCACCATCCTCAGCACCATGTATCGCCAGCATCTTCCGAATCATTAGTCGTCACGAAGGTCGCTGTTTCAAGTATGACAAATCGTGTAACATGATCATTTGAAAGGCGACGGTGCCGAGGAAAGCATGCATGTGCCCTACATGATCCGCAGGTGTTTTGTGTCGGAGGCAAGACATCCATAGCACATGCCGGTACAATCACATCGCAGCCGCCTTGTGGTGCAATGGCCGCGAAGGCTCGATCAAATCAGGCTCAGGGGCTCCAGGTAGCGGTAGCAGGTAATTACTGGAGAGGATTTTGAGGACGTGGGTTTGCTCGACAAGTTTTGTCACGTCTGCATCTGCATGCTCTACAGCACCTGTTGTCCGGCAGGATGAATCGTCTGACATTTGTGGTGATGCAGTGCCGGTCTTTTTCCAACCAGACACGGAGCTGCCGCTTGGGCGAAGTTCATTGTTCAGCCGCGTTGCTTTGGCAACAATCGAGTCCAGTGACGCCGGTTGAAAAAGAAAAGCACATCATCTGAACCTGGATGAGGTTGCTCAAGACCATGCAGAGCCACCATGAGCAGCTGATGGACCGTTTGGACCAGCAAGAGAAGCTACTGAGGCAGGAGGCGTAGCTTGGCCAGCGGCTAGCAGCGGCTAGCTAACCGTCCAAAGTGAAATGCCATTCCAGCAGAGGGCTTGGGCAACCAAGACTTGCACATATCTGGGTGCACATGCATGCCAAGGCAAGACATAACATCGGCAACGTCTCCACAAATCTTCGTGAGACTTGGCTCTAGTACGGTTCTACGTTTGCCTCATTATTTGTACGAAGCCCGCAAGCCCTGAGCAATCTGTCTTGGACTGACCGCGTTAGATCGTTCTCAAACATGCAGCAGGCGTGTTGTCTTGATCTTCAGGTCGGATCCAGGGTCAGTTGGAGGGCATTTCAGATTCATCCTTGCCCCCTGCAGCTCAAACTGGCTTCGTTCAACTGCATTTGACGCATGTAGATGGAATGTCTTCGGCTTTGGAGCCGGCCAGGAAGTCACAGGAAGACAAGAATGACAATAAGTTGATAATCACACCTGTCGGATGACCAATCTGCAGCTGGCTCGGCGCGTCTCCGTGTGTCTAGGCCAGTGTAGGCATCTATCTGTCTGTCTGTCTGTCTATCTATCTGTTTGTCTGGCCAACGATCTACCAAGATCTACTTATCTATACAGTCTATACATACATTAACATCTGTACGTAGAGGGTATCTAACTTATGGAATATATGTCTTACTTATCGATCTGTTTGCGGGACTACGTGCAATAATGCGGGAAGTTCAAGCTCAGAGGCTTGGAGTTTATGGCTTGTGGTGGTTTTGTACTCCATTATATCTCATGTCGCACTGTACATGACGCTGACATGTTATATTATATACTGTGTTCTGAATATACGCATAGACGTACATATGGGTTACATGTGTGCACATACACATTATATATATATGTATATGTATATGTATGTGTATGTGTATATGTATATGTATATGTATATGTATATGTATATGTATATGTATATGTATATGTATATGTATATTACATATATATACACATGTATTTTGCATATGTATATATATATATACATATGTGTGCGTTACAAATACATGCATGTGTAAACGGACATGTCAGCGCTGTATGGTATATGGAGTCGCATCCGAGTCGCTGTGAATGTGGCAGTGGCAGCAACTCTTTCTTCTTTTCCCAGATGAACAGATTGACAGCAAAACAAATGTCATTGTGAAAGTTTGACCTGCATACACGGCAGGGGCGTTGTAGAAGTTGGTGGCACGGAAACAGACGGGCTGCTTCTCTCGGAAGCTGCAAGTCGATTCGAGCAAACTTGTCATCCTGGTGGTAGAAAGCCATGCGAAAGTCCTTTCCGTGGGAAGATAAGGACCTCAGATTCCGGCAGTCTCCTTGCTTCAGTGCAGCCAGAGCAGCACTACATAGGCCCGGGTGTGTTCGGAACTTGCTTCTTGTTCCTGATGATTCCAACAAAGTGGCGGCGGTCGTCCTTGCCCTTTATTGTCGGGCAGCCGAAAATCTTGGTGCGCAACCCTAAGCCCGAAATACCTCAACCTGGGGTTTACGGTCCCGGTTTCAGTGTTGCGCTCTTGTAGACTGCAGCCTCGGGTGAAATCGTAGGCCGGACTAGGTGCGAGGACATAGTGAATGCGGTCAAGCTTGTGGCTGCGACAGAAAGCTTCCTGTAAGCTCCCAAGCACCGTAGTTCTGCTCGAGAGCCCTATCTGCTAAATCGCAGACCAGAGCAGGGAATGCAGCACCGGGCATTTTGTCAGCGAGAAACGCGAGAAGCGAAGTGCCAAGCTTGCTCCATGCCCGGATTGGAGCTGATTTAGCACTTAATTTAGACCCCTAAATTGGGGGTCAGGGCTGTAGCGGCTTAGGGTTTTCAGATGGTCTTTCGAGCCCAGGGTTTGGGGAGGTTGGGGCTCGAACAAAGGTGTTAACACAGTGTTAGAGAGCTTTTGAGTTTAGGGCTTCGCGTGCTTCCAGTTCTGGTTTGGACGGTGCACCGGGAGGACTTAAGTGGACGACATGCTTCAACATGCGATACTTAAATCAGAGCAGGGCAAGTTGCTAAAGTCCTGTGCCTGTCAATCTTGGGAAAATGGCTCAAAACTGAGCTGAGTAGTTCGTCGTCATCCTGCGTTTTTGTGTGCCGTGGCATGTTGGACATCGCTGCTTCATTTGAGTGTGAAGAAGGCACTGTTCCAATGTAGGTTTACATTGTGAATGATGTTGTCCAAACCTGTTCGAACCTTCTGGTTGTGGAAGTTGTGTCAGGTTTGCTTGCGTAAGCTATGACCTTGGAAGACGAGGTCCAGGTGTCCTCATGTAGCCAAACAGGGATTTCATTTCCAGTGATTGCGCGACAAGTATACGAGGGTTTTAGTTATTGTAGTTCAAGAAGCTTCCTTGCAGAGTGACCCGGGTTTGAACAAGCCTTCCTTATTCCTGCAGCCCTGTGCTTGACGACGGAATTCGCCCAGGGGCCTGTCGAATTCTTACCAGTTGCGATCGTATTCAGCAGAGGAGCCGACTGTGTTCAGGTTTTGGTGTTTCGGATTCGGGGTGGCCGCCCTGTGCCCTTTGCTGCTTGTGGGGTCGGTGCTTCCAGGATCTAGGGCGAGTGCCGAAGTGGAAAGATCCATGTATCTGACCCATCAGCCTACCATCCGATATGACAATGGAGCTGCACGTGCCCAGTCGGTACAACCCTGAGTGGGTTGCCTCGACATTGGGCCTACAAGTGGTTTCCACACGACACGTTTTCGATTTAGTTGCTGTCATCTGATCCGTTTAGATTGTTTCCCATTGAACCCTTCCCCACTCGTGGTCATGCCCCGTTCTCCATCCTCCTGCTGCGGAGCTTTATCGTCCTCACCCGTCCGTTGCTACTGGAACGTAACAGTCAGCATTTCTGGTGACGTCAGCCAGCTGTGACTGTGACTGGGAAGAGGCTTTGATACACACTGATCTACCAACTTGCAGCGACTTATAAAATCCAAAATAGTCGCACGTCGAAACGAGAAGTACTCAACATTGCCTGTTCCAGTCCGAAGCCCGTGGCGGGGATGTACCGTGGCGGATGTGTTTGGCAACCTTACCAGACATGTTTCTTCAATGTTGCTAGCGGCGTTGGTAACATGGAGATCACCAGGACACGCAGTTGCGCGACGATGCAGCAATCTGGCTGCAACGTGAAGTATGCGTGCATGTGGCGCCTAAACAGATCTCTACGTGAGCATGCTGACATCTCTTGCCGCAGCTGGTCGCGTAGTCCTTGCATTTCCGAACATTCCTGTTTAGGTACCTTGGTGGCCACCTTGTCGTCCCATCATCAGATACCTGCTACATAAGTAGTATTAGTAGCTTGCGGTTGACTTCATCAACTCAAGCCTTTGACACCCGTTCGGTTTCAGGGCGGCTTATGTAGCAGCATGCTGCAAGCATCCTGGCACTCCGTAAGTTTTGCCCTGAACCCGGCGAAGCATGCAGCAGTAATATTTCCGCCACGCACAGACTCTTGAACGATAGAGCGAATTTCAACTGTAACTTTCGGGCTTAGGGGCTACATACTTCCTTCAGGGCTTGTGCTTTGAGTGTCTCAAGCGTGTCAAAGCCTCCAGGACAACGCGGAATCCATTGCGATTCGCAAGAGATTCTCTGACATGCAGGCACCAGAAAAGAAAGGCCCCGGAAGTCACACAAGGCGCGGGCAGCACAAGGGCCGTGCGTTGGGGTTAGGACTGGAGGGGGTCTTTCTTTATCAGTCGTCTCCGTACGTCTAGCCTAAAATGACCTGTGGGAGGTTGCTGCATTCGGACAGCATCCCGTGGACTACCCGCATAGTGCACAATCCTGCCTTTGATATCTTTTTCGCGGTCATCGTGTTCGCCAATGCCATCTTCATTGGCTTTGACATCCAGTGGACCCTGGACGGCCGAGAGTATGCTGTGGACGTGGTGAGGACGAAGCCCGTGATCTACATGATTTTCCACTACACGTTTTCTGCATTGTTTTTGGGCGAGCTTCTACTACGACTCGCCGACAGCCGCTGTCGCTACTACTGTTCAGAAGAGTGGAAATGGGCTTTCCTTGATACACTGATTGTAGCAACATCCTTCTGGGATATTGCTGTGGATGTCATCTCGGCCATGCTCCAAGACGACAGTTGGGATAGCATCTCTGGGCTGTCCACATTGAAAGCCATGCGCATCGTGCGCCTGACCCGTGTGTTGAAAACTGCTCACTTCATACGAATATTTCGGTTCATCATGGCCCTGCGAATGCTGGTCCAATCGATCTTGCACACCGTCAAAGCTTTGTTTTGGGCCTTGCTCCTCCTGACCTTGATTGTGTATGTGTTTGCTATACTCTTCTCGCAGGCAGTTTATGACTACATGAGCGACGAGGCAAACCCGGAGTTACCACCAGATGTTCAAGCGGCAGCGGATCGGTATTTTCGCAGCCTCGTGCGGAGCATGATGGCTCTGTTCATGAGCATTGCTGGCGGTGTCAGCTGGGAAGAGGTTATTAGGCCTCTGATGTTTGTCTCTGCCTTCTGGGAGGTTTGCTTCCTGTTTTTCATCGCCTTTTCGTATCTGGCTGTGTTGAACGTGGTGACAGCCGCCTCCTGGCCGCCCAGTGGGGGACACATTAGGTATGACTACGGGGTTGTTATACATCTGCTGCACAGCATTCACAAACCATCGTCATGTAGGAATTTTCCGATGCCTTCGATCTTGAAGTTCACGCCCTAGACTCGGCAGTGCGTGAGATGACACCTTGGACATGTGAAGATGGCAGTTTGGTGCAGTGGGTGCCTTCATCAACTTTTGCTTCTAAATTGTATCACAACCCGAGGTTTTCTGCCATGCGGCTATTGAGTCGGCCCAGAAGGATCACACAACCGTGGTCCAGAACATGCTGGACAATAAGGCTGGGTGGCATTATGTTCCCAGGTGCACTTGTAGTTGTACTCCTTCGCCGACCCTTGCTAACTTGGGTGTCCTTCGAATCTGGTCATAGACCGATCGGGATGAGCCGGCTCACAACAATAGGAAGACCGCATGCGAGACCCTGCATTTCTGCAGACACGTCCAGTGGCATTGTTGCACTCATGGATTCTTTGCGTTGTATCGGGCAAAATTTCTTAAGCCAATACCCTTGCCGCATCCCATCCTCGACAAGTGTAGCTTATCCTGTCAACGGCTCTTCGCATTGCGAGCCTTCATGCTGCCAAGCACTAGTCGCTAGTCCTGCCACAGGAGCAGCATCTCCAAAAGCTCAGGGCTTTGTTCGAAAAGATTGGTGACAAAGGAGCTGGGGGCATTACTTACCGAGTGCCGCTGGGCGAAGGGGAAACGCAGAAACGCAGGTACAACAGTGTGTATTCTGTTGTGCACGGGTTTCTACATACATGAATACCACATGTGCTTTGGAAAGATGCCCCATAGACACATATCTATCCTTTGCACATATACACATGACTGTATATGTTACATGGCGCTTTGATCACTCGGTGCTTAGCTGCGCAGCCGGACCGCATGTAATGCGCGCTTGAATGTGTTCTATTGTGCCGATTTCATGAATCAGACATGCTTGCACGTGTGGGGTTCAGACGTGCTTACCGATATTTTGTCGCATGCCGGCTTCGCAACACCGATGTGTAGTGTTTACAAAGCGCCGTAGAGCTGTATCTCGCCTTGGAGTTGAGATTGGCGAGTTGCCCATGACATGAGCTACTGAAGAGGACCGTATCTTCTTCTCCGTTCCCTAGAGCCTATTTTTAGACCCTAAAATCCTAAGCTCTGAAGCACTTAAACACTCTAAAGAGTTTAATCCTACACCTAATTTCTAAAGCTTAAACCCTAACCCCCAAAGCGGTGGCCCTGACTCACGGCCAGTTTCAAAACCTTAGGTTCGAGGAGAAGATCAATTCCCCAGCAGTCCGCGACTACTTCGAGACCTTAGGTTTGGACGTGTGGGACCCGTGGTCTTTTTTCAAGTGCCTCGCAGAAAGATTAGTGTTCTGGGCGGCTTGCACAATCAAGTCTGGGCGGAAGCGCAGGCCATAAGCCCGGATCCATGCAACCAGTCTTGAGCCGGAAACTGGTAACACTAAGCCTTCACTAAGCATGATCCTGGCCCCAAACCCGGCCCCAAACCTCACAGGCTGCTGGACACCGACGGTGGCGGTGTTGTGGAGCTAGAAGAGTTCTTTATGGGATGCTTACGCTTCAGCGGCGACGCTACTTGGCAACACCCCTTGCTGCTACGGCTCATGTTGCGGGAAAAAAGGGCTTAGGGTAGCAGGCTTCTCTGACTCTCCGATTCGAGGGTGTTGTGCCGCATATTTGTCAGCATGCATCTAACGACAATGACGCGAACAGGAGCTGCAAAGGCTCTAATCCTCATGCCCTATATATATATATATAGAGTCAGATGCAAGATATTGTGTATTTCAGTGTAAGGTTAAGGGCTTAGGATTTAGGGACTTGCATCACCGGTTTTTTCTTCTGTTCGATGTACGAGCTTGTGTCTTGAAGCTCCCCTAAGGCCAATACTATCCTGGGAGTATTTGCCGTCAGATGGCTTAATACAGTACCTCTATTGGGGCATGGTCGCACCCTGTTGAAACATCAAGTGCTGTTGTTAAAGGCCCCATACCCGCAACCCTATGTGTGGAGCCTTGCCTGCTATGCGCGACAGAGTCGACACCGGACAAGTACCCCTAAACCCTAAACGGCCCTAAACCCTAAAGGCTCGAAGCCCTAAACGCTAAAGGCTCGAAGCCCCAAAGGCTCTACACTCTTCAAGCCTTCCAAAAACTCTGGCAAATTCAGGCCACGGCCATGGAGTTGGGAAAGCTGGCAGCGGACCAAAGGCTTTCGATGAGGGGTGAGGGAATGTAAGAGGTCAGAGTTTAGGGATTTGTGATTTGTATCTCTTTTGTCGAATTAGGTGGTTTTGAGGTTTTTTGGGAGGGGCTTGGGGTTTACAATACATGCCATGGGTCAGTTTATGGTAGAGCATGCGTCCGGAGATTCAAGATCTTGCTGCTCCGGAGTTGCTGAGCTTCACGCGTTATATATATATATACAAGCATACATACATATGTCTATGTATGTATGTGTGTATGTAAGTATGTATGTATGTATGTATGTATGTATGTATGTATGTATGTACGTGCGTACGTATGTATGTATGTATGTATGTATGTATGTATGTATATATGTATGTGTGTGTGTAT